TGAAATGTCCCTATTAAGAAGACACAATTTAAGTAACTTCTCAAAAAAATAAATAGTTGCCTGCAGGGTATAAGATAACTCAAAGCTATCTAAGCTTCCCCTGTCTGTGCTCTGCAGAGGTTAATGCAAGATTAATAAACGTGAATTTTGAATGAATGGGAGGAGTGTGGAAATGCAGGACTGGATTTCTACACAAACTGAAAATATCCAAGGGATGCTGCAGGAGTCTCTAGCAGCTGCCTACCCATGGGCACATTTAGTCTGCTCCAGGAAGCTGGTGGTTATTGCAACTCTGCTCTGAAGTCCTGTCTAAAAGGAATTTCAGTGTCGCCACGTTTGTCTGTTACCAGTGGGTTTTCCATGTGGTTTTGCATAGAAACTCAACCACTTCAGTTCTGTGGGAGTGGATTGTAATGGAAGATCCAGATGTTTTGGCCCGGGGCCTTAGTGATGCTGAATCTGTAGTGTGTTCTGTGCAGACAATGTTATATATTGTGTCAAGCAACATGTGATGCTGCTGTTCTTCTGAACACAGTTCTTCAAAGCTTGGATGGTGCATCTTGGTTAAATAAGTGACCTGGGATTTAAGGCACTGAGTATGTTGTGGCTTTATCACTGGCTTTCTTATCACAGCTTAAAAGCTGATCCCAGGCTAACTCAGCTTAAAAGCTGATCCTAGGCTAGCTCTGCTTTGCTCTTTTAGGTGCTTTGCTGGTATCCTGAGCTGACTCTTGCTTTTTCCTGCCATGTCAGCTTATTCCATGTAAAACTCCACTGGCCCTGGGATATTTGGGGCAAAAACCAACCAGTAGGCACCCACTCATAGACTTTACCAGTGGGGCAGTTAAGATCGGTAGCTGTAAGGAGTAAAGTGAAGTGAGGCTGTAATGAAGTCCAGCAGTCAGGCTGCCTGTGGCTGCAGCAGGCAATGCTGCCTGCCAGGCTGCAGATGCTACCAGCCCTCCTGCTTTCTGTCAAATGCAGACACCATCCATTAGCTGGGGAAATAGCTTTCTAAAAATAATATTTTCCAAAGTCCCGTGCTACTCTTTAACTTCCTTGGACCCCAAAAGGCAGCCTCCCCTTTGTCCCCAGTTTGAACAGGCTCTACAGCATATTAAGGAGCTGGTTTCTGCTGACTCACTCGTTTCTGATCGCTCCCAGATGTTTACCTGGCGCCAGTAACAAGGGCCCAAAGTGTCTGAAGGGAGGCTGTGCTCCTCTTGGACCCTTGAAAACAACAGCAAAGACTTCCTCAGCTGACGGTCAGCTGATAAGTTTCTCCAAGTCATGTCAAATCCCAACTCAAAGGCAATATGATTTCAATCTTCCCTGGTGAGGAGCTCCTGCTGTGGACCCTGAGTCACTGCCCCAGCTCTGTGGGGATCTTGGACTGGCTGAGCTTTAGCACATGTCCAAGTGTTTTGTTGCACCTGGACATGAGGATATTAAAAGAGGCAAATGGGTGAACATCTGAAATCCATGAGAACTTGCTGAAATGTGAGCATCTCTCTGTTGTTTTCAATTAATCTGGCTGGGGAGTTCTTTGCTCCCTGGCCCTCTCTGATCACTCCACCTTCAGATGCTCAGTGCTCCACACCTCAAGCCAAAGCAGAAGGGACCTGCACACCCCAAGTGAAAAAGAAGGTAGTGCCTAAGTGACCTAATTTTAGAGTAGGGCTAGAATCCCCTCTCTCACAAGTGGGAACCTTCCCAGGAATAATGCACCATCTGTTGCAAGGTTTTGGCTGGATGGCGAAACCAGACGCGTCGGCTTCGCTGCGTAGCCGTGAGTGGGGCAGCTCCTCTGGGCTTTCAGAGGTTACAGCTGAGTTTTTTTTCAAGCTGCCCTTTCTGTAAGTTCAGTGTTTGCCTTAAATGGGTGGTGGATACGGGCTCCTATTTAGCAAAGGGCGCCCGGCCAAATGTCGGGGTCCGACTGCAGCGCACACGAGCTGTCTGTTCCTGCCTGCTCTACCTACAGGGCAGGCTGCACTTCAAGTTGCTTCTGCTAAATGGCTGCATTGTAAACGGCTGTGGCAGAGCTTCTATTTTTAAACTCTTAGGGAAGTCCCTCAAAGTAGGAATTGTTCCCTGAATTTGGGTCAGACAGTCTACAAAAGCAACCACTCGTTTTGCCTCCCCCGCCCCTCTGGAGCCGGGTTAGAGGGTTGGGCTCCTGCTTCTGGGGGATGCAAATGACAACAGACAGGGCTGAGAAGAGGATGAGGTTAAAGTGTCCTGTCTCTCAGGTGTGCTTGGAGCTGGGGACAAGGCTTTTGTCTGCAGAGCAGAAAATCATAGAATCATGGTTGTAATAGGGTTTGGGTGGGAAGGGTCTTTAAAGATCATCTAGTTCAACCCCCTGCATGGGCAGGGACACCTCCCACCAGCCCAGGTTGCTCCAAGCCCCATCCAACCTGCCCTGGAACACTTCCAGGGATGGGGCAGCCACAGCTTCTCTGGGCA